TATACTTTCAGAACAGGAAATAGATCCCTAATACCACAATATCTGAAGCTTATAACTTTACATCCCACAAGGAGCTCTCCACTTCCTGCTAATTGTATATAAAAAGATGAGAACAGTTGCACATAGCAGAGGATGATGTTGACAAGTCATCCTTCAACACTACTCTCATCCCTTTCTACCAATTGGGGTCTTTCCCATGTGTCTAGGACTCTTCCCTAGAGTTGCCCATGGTTCTTTTAGTATTTGTTCTTTTTAATCATGACAGTAGAATGTATTTTGACATATCATATATACCTGGAGTATGGCTTCCCATTATTGTGGTTGTACATGATATGGAATTACACTGGGTGTGGATTCATATATGAATATAAAAAAGTTATGTCTGATTCATTCTACTATCTTTCCCATTCCCAACTTCTCCCTTCCCAAATTCCCCTCTGTCCAAACCAGTGAACCTCAACTCCCCCCCCACACACACCCTTATTGTGACTCAGCATCTGCACATCATGGAGAATATTCAGCCTTTGGTTTTTTGGGATTGGCTTATTTCACTTAGCATGAGAGCTCCAGTTCTATCCATTTTCATTCTTCTTTAAGGCTGAGTAATATTCCATTGTTTATATATATCACATTTTCTTTATCCATCCATCTATTGAAGGGCAGGCATCTATGTTGTTTCCATAGATTGTGGTGAATTGAGCAGCTATGAACATTGATGTGACCGCATCACTAGAGTACGCTGATTTTGTCCTTTGGGTATATGCGGAGGAATGGGATAACTGGGTCAAATGGTGGTTCCATTCCGAGTTTTCTGAAGAATCTCTGTACTACTTTCCAGAGTGATTGCACCAATTTGCAGTCCTATAAGCACTATATGAAAGTACCTTTTTCCCTACATCCTCCTTAACATTTATTGTTACTTGTATTCTTGATAACTGCCATTCTGACTGGAGTGAGATGAAATTTCAGTGTGGTTTTAATTTGCATTTTTCTAATTGCTAGTGATATTGAACATTTTTTCATATATTTGTTGATCATTCATATTTCTTCTTCTGTGAAGTATCTGCTCTGTTCCTTTGCACATTCATTGATATTGGGGTTTTTTGTTAAGTTTTTTAGTTCTTTATATATCCTGGAAATTAATGCTATATCTGAGGTGTAGGAGGCAAAGATTTTCTTACATTCTGTAGGCTCTCTCTTCATGTTCTTATTTGCTGTGAAGAAGTTTTTTAGTTTGATACAATCCCATTTATTGATTCTTGATTTTATTTCTTGCATTTTAGGAATCTTGAAGAATTCAGTTCCTAGGCTGACACGATGGAGATTTGGGCCTACTTTTTCTTGTATTAGGCAGAGGGTCTCTGGTCCTTAATCCACTTAGAGTTCAGTTTTGTGCAGGATGAGAGACTGGGGGTCTAATTTCATTTTATTACATATAGATTTCCAGTTTTCCCAGCACCATTTGTCGAAGAGGCTATCTTTTCTCCAATGTATGTTTATGGCACCTCTGTCTAGTATGAGATAACTGTATTTATGTAGATTTCTTTCCATGTCTTCTCTTCTGTACCACTGATCTTGATATCTGTTGGTGCCAATACCATGCTGTTTTTGTTACTATAGCTCTGTAGTATAATCTAAGGTCTGGTATTGGGATGCCTCCTGCTTCACTTTTCTTGCTGAATATTGCTTTAGCTATTCTGGGCCTATTATTTTTCCCGATAAATTTTATCGTTGCTTTTTCTAGTTCTATGAAGAACATCACTGGAAACTTAACAGAAATTGCATTAAATCTGGATTGTGTTTTTGGTAGTATTGAAGCCAGAATTAGATAGGCAGTCAGTATAGATAGGTAAATCAAGTCAGGTTAGGTCAGATCAAGGAGGCCAATTTTGAGTGAGTCCAGAAAGTTGGAGACTGTGCCCTAAGAGATTGATATATTTATTTCTTAGAGCCCTTTCTCCACCCTTATCAAGAACCTCACCCTGCTCCAACCTGTTGCTAAGGTAACCTGTCCCAGGAATTGCCCCACCTATAGGGAGCTATAAATCTGTTAATTAAGGTGTCCTGGGCTGCACCATCCTGCCCTTCCCCCTTCAGTCTAGCAGTTTCTCACCTTTTGACCATCCCACCAGCATTCCTGGGCCTAGTCATGTATGCAGGAGGGAGAAAGATAAGGGGAAGAGGGCAGGAGAACAAAGGAAGCCTAGGACATGTAAAAAGGGCAGAACACCTCACTTCTTGGGATACCAGGATACCAGCTATGGTCCCCTTCTCCCTCCTGGGAGAAGTCTATGTTACCCCTTTTTGAATAAACACTGCTTTATATGCTTGCCTTAGCATGTTTCTCTAATGTTCAAACTTCAACATATGAGGAAGCAGAACTTGTCACCAATAACCAGTGGTATTGGTATGGTCATTTTGACAATATTAATTCTGCCTATCCAAGAACATGGGAGATTTGTCTATCTTCTACATTCTTCAATTTCTTTCTTTAATGTTGTCTTCATTATAGAGGTATTTCATCTCTTTTGTTGTATTGATTCCCAAATATTTTATTTTCTTGGAGGCTATTGTGAATGGGATGGTTTTCCTGATTTCTCTTTCAGTTAATTCATCACTGATATATAGGAATGCAGTTTATTTATGGGTATTTATGGGATATATAGGAATGCAGTTTATTTTGGGGTATTTTATATCCTGCTCCTTTGCTGAACTCATTTATGAGTTCTGGAATTGTTCTGGTGGAGTTTTTGGGGTCTTCTAGATATAGAATCATGTTGTTAGCATATAGGGATAGTTTGAGTTCTTTTTTTTTTTTTTCCTACTTGTATCCCTTTCATTTCTTTCTTCTGTCCAACTCTGGCTAGAGTTTCCAGGACTTTGTTGAGTAGAAGTGGTGAAAGAGGGCATCCTGTCTTGTTCCAATTTTTTCCAGAGAATGTTTCAATTTTTCTCCCTTTAGAACCATGTTGGCCTTGGGTTTAGCATAGATAGCTTTTACAATGTTCAGGTATGTTCCTACTATCACTAGTTTTTCTAGTGTTTTGAACATGAAAAGGTACTGTATTTTGTCAAGTGCCTTTTTTGCATCTATTGAGATAACCACGTGATGCCCACGGTTCTTAAAAGGAAAAACAACAATGCTCAGGAACAGCTTATCTCTCTTGATATGGTCTTCAAAAATCTTTAGTTGTTTTCTTGGAAAAATGAAGCCCAAACTGTAAGATTCATATTGCTTAGTAAAATATAGTTTGAAAAGGCTATTCTTTCCATGTATCAGGACCCAGAAACATTGTGCTTAAACCAAATTATTTAATATATTTACTTAACGTTGATCTAATCTAGGTCAAGCCTCAGACAAGGCCTTAGCTACCTCCCATTATCATGCTGCTCCTATCCAACGGTTGCCACCAGGCTCAAAAATCCCTTGTTTTCAGTTCTCCCCTTATGGGTCCTCAATCCCCTGATCCAGACATGGACTTTCTATAGATCTAGAAGAATGCAGTTTTTAGAACCTAAGAATGCCTCCAACTCAAAATCTCAGTGGAAGATATTTCTAGTCCTATCCTCAGGAAAAGTTGTTGTCTCACCTGGGCCATCTGGAATCTGCACTAGAAGAACACAAAGTTAGGAGGCAAAGGGAGAACAAAAGGAAAAGAAGTCACCAGATCCTAAGCACCTGTAACATACAAGCACTGTGCTGGAACTTTCAACACACGATTACCTTCATACCACAGCAAGTCTGCCCTTTAGGGATAAGAAATAAGAAGGCACAGAAGGCATCAATCTTCAGGTCACACCTCTAGATGAATCTACAGCAACTGAGAATCCCTGAATTCAAAGATGTCCCTACCTTACAGAACCACCAGCCAGGCATCACCACCTGGAGGTCACTGTCAGGTTGATGAAGGTGACTTAGGAATAAAGCATCAAGCAGTCCAGGCACACGAAAGAAATACCAATCAGGCACCTACGGAACCGCCTGTCAATCAGCAGTGTCTCTTGGCCAATCCTGGATATTAGCCAGCTCCCCCGACCAACCCCAGTGGGACAAAGGACTCTAAAAACCCCTTTTCCTAACCCAAGCCCTCCCTTCCTGCCCTAAGCCCCATAAAATTTCAGTCCAGTCAAGCCCCCTGCCCGGTTTCTTCTCAGACCCTCTTCTTATCTGGCTCTGTCAGTCTGATAGAGTTAGACCCGGGAGTGGAATCTCAATAAAGACTGGTTCAGCAGCCTTTTTAATCTTCCTCCTTTTGGTCGCTGCCGCTGCCTGACCTTACAGTCACTAGTCAAATTGTCAATGGAAGACTCAGCTAGAATCTTGGAACATGTAGAAGGATGCTCAGACTGAGCATTTCCCTGACCCCACCTCAATACAGATACCTCTGTAACACCTATACACTGAGCCATGTGGTTCTACTTCTGAACAGACCCAGATCCATCCAATCTTAACTTGAAAGTCAACTAGAGCAAATCAAGAGTATTTTTAAAAGAAATATATTCTTTGTTCATATTTCTTGAACATTCAAGGAGACCCCAATTCAAAATCTATAGCATAGTTGAAAAAAATGGCCATGCTTTCTCTATTATCAATTCACTTCCACCACCACCATCATCCAAACTGACCTGAAACCTCTCAAGAAACCCAAAACTTGTTTTTCTGCATCAACCTCCCTTGTCTTTCCCTCCCTTTACTACTTGACTTAACTTCCCTCCTCCTTTATTATATAGACCATTTTGGCCTTTCCCTTGACCCCCACCCCCTCAGTAAGCAAGAATTCTCTCTCTTTAAAAGTGGGTTTAGGAACAACTACATGGTCTAATAAATGCAACATTTTCTTTCAGAGATATACTACATTAATATTACAGCATCTATATCCTATGTTAATATTGTACATTAGTGCACTCATGCTGTACATTAGTACCTGAACATACACATCAGTACCATACATTACTGCATTAGTGCTGTACATTCACACACCAGCATGACTTGCCCTCACCTTGATGTGCTCAGGCCTTCCATCGGTATGGACCCCTTCTGGTATTCCTTCCGGGGCTTGAAGGACTCTCTGGGCAGGTAAGAGTGGTAGACAGGGTAGTTCTCCGTATATTCAGAGAGAAGACATGGTTTCTGTGTTTGATCATAAATCTTGGTAGGGAGGTGTGGACAGTGATGCCGCCTATAAAAGACACAGGGAGTTCAGTTGGCTACCTTCTAGGGAGGAATACATCCAGTTTAATAATTCCACAATCTTTCAAAATGTGACCCAGATATAAAACCTTCTGGTTGCCTCCTTTGAAAACTAGAACTTTTCCCTACTAAACTATGTGAAGTGGCTAGAATTTGAACCATAGTCTATAACTGCTGTTGGTCAAATACCTTAGCCACAAAATTAGAAACGAGCACTGCTGATACTCAGCTGTTACAAATGCCACACTATTTGCATAAAAACTGAAAGTCTTTCCACACCACAACAATATATCAATGGCTATGGCCCCCGACCTGAGTGCAGCTCTACTTGCCACAGACCCTTTCTTGAGGCCTCCAACAACACCCGGCAACTAACGGCTTACTACTGACCTAACAGGAGGCTCTCCAAGGCTTCACTTTTGGGCCCAGCTAGTATCTTTGCTAACTGATTGGTTCATGTTCCATACAAATGGTATCATGCAAAGCAAAACTGCCTCAGTTCTGAGTCCACTGGACACCACTTACTATGTGAAATCATTTTCATGGTAAAAGTTTCATTCATTTATTCTTTCAGGTCTCACCTCAATTATGACATTCTTAGAAATATTTACCCTGATTATATCTTACACCTAAACACCCCACACACACATCTTCCCTCTCTTCTCCCTGCATGTGCCTTTCTTGTGGCTTACTGCCATCTGCTACTGGCACATCTGTTTGTGAGTTTACTTATTGTCTATCTCATCTGTTGGCTCAGGACCTTCCCCCGCCGTGTTCACACTGCATCCCTCCTACTTCATATCCTGTACACAGTAGGCATCAGTGAACACCTATCGAATGAATGACTGAGTATGTAAATGAATTAAGAAAGTGATAAATAGATAATATTTTAAAGTTATAGTTTATAATGAGCTTTTTCCATTTTACAAGCATGGTAATGAATGAAACTGATTCTACTTACAGCAGGACAACGGGCAGCTGTTGGAGCTCTCAACAACCAAGTAAACAGCAGCTAAATTATTTGTGTGCTCACACACAATCCCTACAGGCCAGCTGGGGCACCTCTAGTCATCAGGCACCAGCACAAACTCCAGGTTAGTGATTTCCAACTTAGTCACAACAAGGAGTGACATGGAATTGTTTTTACATTTTAATTACATAAATATATAGTACTTGGGTAACATATGGGGAGAGGAGAGAAAATCAAAGAGAAAGAGACTCAGAACTCATTATTGCTTAATAGAAAGCTATTTTCCAGGCAATAATTGGCATGATGCTCCTGTTGTCATTAAATCCAATACTTCCATGTGTTGCTGCCACCATTGCTGTTCTACGCATCTCTCTGCACCCTCAGAAATTACCAACACGTATGATCACATAAAAAGACCTGCATGTTAACAAGTACCTTCAGAGATGTTCCTATCTGTTTTCTTCTCATTTGTACATTTGTGTATTAGGAAAAGACTTAAATTGCTATAAAATTGTCTCGTTTACTATTATCTTTATTTAAAAAGTGCTATTGATTTGTGGTAAATATTTTAGATACAGTCTTCCCCCGTATGGATACAGTCCAAGACCCCAGTGGATGCCTGAAACCATAGACAGTCCTCACCCCTATTTATACTGTTTTCTCATAGACATAATGTCTATGATAAAGCTTAAGCTACAGTAAGGAATTAACAATAACTTACTGTAGCTCTTAACCTCAGTCTATGATATTTTTTCCCTTATTAAGTCAAGAACTTTCACCTTCTCTCTTAAAGGAATCATTTCACGGCTTCTCTTTGACATATTTGAACTGCTAACATCATTACTCTTGCAACTTTGGGGCCACTATTACATAAAATAAAGGCTACTTGAAAATATGTACTTCATACCATAACAGATGACCTGAAAGCTGAGACAGTTACCAAGTGACTAATAGGTAGGCAACGCGCATTCAGCATGGACATATGCTGGATAAAGAATGAGTTATGGACCTAGTGAGATGGTGATAGATTACATAACACTGCTCAGAATGGCACATAATTTTAAACCTATGAATTGTTTACTTCTGAAATTTTCCATTTAATATTTTCAGACTGTGGTTGACTGAGTAATCATCAATAAGCGAAGAATACTGTATTCCTAACTATTTACAGGGAAATCTTCCATATGTATCCTGTCCTTATTGTATGAATACCTAAAATTTCCAGTATTAAATACAATCAATAAAAGTTTAGTTTTCTTTTTTCAGAGTGCACATCATTGTCATTTTATAACAAAGCTGACTACATTCTACATAATAAAATATAATATCTTATTAATAAAATATCTTCTAATTGGTGCATTAATTAATGATACTTTAAAATATCTTCTGTTCACTCAAGAGATAAATTGATATGTTCACAAATAAACAAAACCACCATTTCCCACTGTATATAAATGTTAGATATTATCATTATTTCTGTGCTCATAATCAATGCAGTTATCTGAGATTTCAGTCTGAGCCAGTTAGTACCCTATTACTTTAGGATTTCTACAAACCTCAAATCAAAAACAAAGAAATATTGCTTAGCAAAAAATACCTTTATCTACATTTTCTCCCCTGAACTCCAAGAGAAAAGTCAAGATTTTACTAAGGATTTCTTAGAATCAAGCATTTGCAATAAAATGGACTCAGGAGTCATAGCCATATATTCCCTCCTAAGTGTCCCTATTTTTTGAACCAGTTCAATTTACATTTTCATACCCCCTTTCCATATTGTTAATTTTTTAAATGTAACACACTGTGCTTATTCCAAAAGAAAAATAAATTTAATTGCAAAATACTGCAATGCAGTATCCTGAGAGTGGAAGCAATAAACTTCCAACCAGATGCTGAAATTCCATTAAATGGAATTATATCAACCTATATTTATAGGACATGTGTTATTTGACTTATTATTTGTTAACTGAAGCCTTGCCTCACTTTGAAATATTAAAAACAATTATCCATAAATGTTCATTGTCCACATTTGCTCATAGTAACATCTCCTTTTCCTAACTGTACCCATAACAGCCTGAATACCCACCAAGACCCATGTTTACCCTACCCCTTAAAATAAAAACGAAGTCTGAAATCTCCATGTCCCAGAAGCTAGTCCAGCATCTAATATATTTATTTAATGGTTGGATGATCACACAGTTAAACAGTATGTAGAACTGCTAAAAGAAGGACATTTAAAAGTCATCAGGAAAAGGAAAATGACTGATTTGTTCTATTGGTAGATTCAAAAGGAAAGACATTTGGATTCTCAGTTTTAATGGAACAAGTTAGTGCCTAAAGAAAGTTGTGAAATCACCACAGTTGGAGTATTTAAAAGTAGACTTGATGGCCATGAAGTAAAGAACTGAGACCTCTTCAAGCTGGGACTAGAATCATTTTACCAGCTGCCTTGGCCACCTCACTCAGGTGCATACTCACACAAACCCAGATGGCACCAAGAGGCACACGATGAAAGGGGAGGGCAGGGGTCACCTTAATCTACCAGAACTCTCTGAAGTCTTTCCACTCCAGAATTTATTACTCCAGAGGGAAAAGGAAATATCCTGACTTTCTCTGATACCTGGTAAAGGGAGTAGGAGAGATCCTTTGATGAAACTCAGAAAAAGCTAGTAATTGTTGGCTCTCAGCTTCAACTCCAAACTAGAATCATAGAATTTTAAAATTGAAAGGGGCCATGGAGAATATCTGATCCAATGTCTTCACTATGCAGATGAAAAACCAGAAGCTCAGAAGGATGCTCATTACCTTGCCATGGCTACAGGCCTCAGTCACATCTGAATGACCAAGTACATTCCTGACATGTAGCTAGTTTAAGCCATCTGGGCCTCAGGTAACCCTAGAATGCATGACAAGACTTTAAGTACTTTAAAAAAAAAATAGGTACCTTTAGAATAACACCATCCAATAAAAATAGAATGCAAGCCATACAATTCATTTTTTAATTTTCCAGTAGTTACATTAAAATATTAAAAAGAAACAAGTGAAATTAATTTTAATTATATATAAACATATTCAAAATATCATTTCAACATGGAATCAGTATAAAAATTATTTACAAGTTATTTTTACTCTTCAAACTCTAGTCTGTGCTATACATTTGTAGCACACCTCAGTTTGGATTAGCCATACTTATACTGGCTTCCCTATTGGAAAGGGTAGGTCTAGAATTTGAAAGTTCAAAGGAACTAGAAGCACTTGGGTAATAAAAGTTTTCTCTAAAAATAGAGGAAAACAAAGATGCTTGGAGATAATTTTGTTGATTAGCATAGTATTTGTCTCTTCCTTACATAACTCGCCTTCATGTGATTCAATCAGAAGGCATTAAAAGAAAAATAAAGGAGTTTTATGAAAAATAAAGGAGTTTTCCGTAATTCACCTCAATCTATAGCATCAAGCTTCAGTTTTTATGCAACTACAATCCTTCCCACATCTGCTCACCACTTGACATTCCACTTTGCAGAAATGCATCCTTTTCTTCAAGGCCCCATCTCAGATGCCACCAATTTTTGTGCCCACCCCAAGCTCCCTACAAAGCTACTGATGATCCCACTAGATAGTTACTGGCTGTGACATTTTCTCTGCTTAAAGAATGCGTGGTGTTATGTATGTCTCCAGCTCTTTAGTTTTTCAGCCATCTTTATTTTCAAGACCTAAACTTTTTATTTTTTAAGTTTTTCACTGATACATAATAATTGAACGTATTTATGGGTTAGAGCATAATATTCCAATACATATTATACAATATGTAATAGTGATATCAGAGTTACTGGTATAGGCACCACCTCAGACCTTTGTCATTTCTTTGTGTTAGGAACGTTCCAAATCCTCTCAACTATTGTGAAGCAAGCAATGAAATATTGTCAATCATGATTACCCTACTATACTATAGTGTCCCAGCTTCTGTTAGGATCTTTTATCTTCTGTACTTCCTTGCAAAAAAATAAGTGTTAAGTATTTTCATGGTTGCAAATGATGTTATTCATCAAACAATAGTATGGCATTTTTCCTGCCACCAACAGGCAATATAAACAGAACCTAGTATAATATAACTTTGGGTTTTTCAAGCAAATGAATTTCTAATGGGTCTTTTAGAACCTACCTATTTGTAAGGAAAGCACCATCTGTGGATATTGATAACTTGCCTCCAGCATGGCCTTTTAGAATCACCTGACTGTCCACAATGAAAAAGAGGCAGAGCACAGAGTACAAAGGGACTTCAAAGGCAGCAAGAGCCAAAGTTTCCAATGTTACCTTAAATCCCAACTCCTTGTTAATGCTGAGAAAATTACCTAACTCTTCTGAACTCCAAATTTCTCTTCCATAATAATGTGAATAACAACTCCCACTACTTAATATGATTATATGGATTAAATAAGGTACTGGAAGTGAAATGCCTAGCCTAGTCCAAGACAAGAATTCTGTGATTAATAGGCTACATTTACAGAGCAATTACTGTGCAGCATATGGGGAGAATTTTTATCTATTCTCTCAACTAAGCTTCACAGCAATGCTATGAGAGAGGTGCTATTGTCATCCCCATTTTACAAACATGAAAACTGAACCTTAGGAGATGTTATCATGCTCAAGACCACATGGCCAGAAAGTGATGAAGCCAAGACTCCCAGAACCTAGGTTTCAAACACTGTGCTCTTGAGTATAGCCATGTATGTGGCTCAACAGGATGCCAGCCTGTACCAAATACTTCTATTCCCTGGCTGCCCTGATAAACTTAACATCAATCAATTAATAGGCAGGCCTTTGACCTGTCACTTCAAAGTCACCTCACCTACACTCAGAGTTTTCCAAGACAGTACATCCCCCACTATTTCCCACTGGCCCTGAAAACTTCCCATTACAGACCAACAAATAGATGCAACTCCAACAGCTCTTTGAAACTCTGTTGTTCCCTGGAACTTTCTTTGCTGTCTAAACAAGAGGCTGTCATTAGATAAAGCCAAACAGTAACAACCAGAAAAATAAAGAATACAGAATGCTGGACCTAGAAGGACCCTAGAGATCAGTCAGCCCTACCACTTCATCATACAGATGTGAATGCTGACCAAGAGACATCAAATCACTACCCAGGGTCACACAGCTGGTCAGTAGCAGGTTTCACCCCAGGGCCATATCACATCCCACATAAATGACTTCCATGTTAAATCCAACTGAAAACACAAAGTTCAAATCCTTAAAGAATTTGCAGCCTATTTTTTCCTTTTCCCCTGTAGATGGGATCTCATGAGCTATCACAGCTGCTATGCAAGGAAAACACACTGGGTATAGAAAATGCACTTTTAAGTCTATGAGAGGTGACAACAATGGCCAAGCCTTGAGTCATAAAAGTCATCATCTATGCCAACAGCCCAGAAAGACTCTAGGGTGGCTGGAACAGCAGGAACTCTGAAATGCTAAAGGCAAGGCCTCTTAAGAGGAGCGCCTATGTTTCTGGAATTTTTTTCCCCTCTTAAGAACTCCAGAAAAATCAACTCCATTAGGAAAGGTAAAGCCAACACTCCTGAAATGCATGTATATCTACCCACAGTGTTTTGTAAACCTTTTAAATATTAATTTGCTAAAATTTGCTCTCTTGTATTTATAATATACCAGAGGCCAAGAGACAAATGAAAAATAAATTTATGAACACTAAAATAAGACAACTTTTGAACATACACACATAACTTCATGGCAAGCTTTAAGAAGAGATGTCTCACATTCCCTGCCTTCATCTCATCCATATATATCTTTCAAGAATTAGAATGGGCCAGACACAGTGGTGCATACCTGTAATCCCAGCAACTTGGGAGGCTGAGGCAGGAGGATTACAAGTTCAAGGCTAGCCTCAGCAATTTAGTGAGACCCTAAGCAACTTAGTGAGACCCTGTCTCAAAATAAAAAAGAAAAAGTGCTGGGGATATGTAACTCAGTGGTAAAGCCCCTTTGGGTTCAAACCCCAGGACCAAAAAATAAATAAAAAAGAATCAGAACAGTGTGAGACATATGTACTATTCCAGCGCATATGCTACCCTACCCATTGCTGTGATTAACTGGGAAATTTGGTGATGATATATCCTTGTGGAGAACAGATTCTGGGTAATAGGAAGCAAAGCAAAATGCTTTAAGGTATGTCAGAGAACAAGCAACCTTAAAGATTATCTAGCATAAATATGACAAATAGGTGCAAATGATATACCAACTAGAAGAGGCTGCCTGGATGCCACACTGAAAATATTCTAAGAACACAAGTTTGAGGACTGAGAACACCATGATTGATTAGCCATGTCTGCCAAGGGCACCAGGTAAGGGGAGGAAGAATGCAGAGGGAAGAAAATGGAATCCTGGTAGAAATGTCCACAGGCTGTCAAAAATGATGACTTGTAGGAATCACATGTTTGGAAGACATCTGGAATGACAACGAAGCCATAAAAATATGAATGAAGTTGCCAAGAAGAGAAGAAAAAAAGGAAGAAAAACAAAACTTTGGAAAACACCATATTTACTAATATGGAAAAGAATTTTCCAGAGGGGAAAAAACAGACTAAGGAATAAAAAAAAAATTAACAAGAGTAAACATTAAGAAGTCAAAGAAAACATTTTAAGTGTTCAATAGTTAAATGCCACAGAAAAGTCAAAAGGTATTAGGGCAAATACTTTTTTTTTCATGGGACCAAGAAATTGGTACTGTTGAAGACATGGAGTGAGAGATGAGAGATCACCATTTAGAAACATTTGTCACAAACAGCAAAAAGAGCTAGGCATGGTGGCACACGCCTGTAATCCCTGCACTCAGGAGGTTGAGATATGAGAATCATGAGTTCAAAGCCAGCCTCAGCAAAAGAAAGGCACTAAGCAACTCAGTGAGACCCTGTCTATAAATAAAATACAAAATAGGGCTGGGGATGTGGCTCAGTGGTTGAGTGCCCCTGAGTTCAATCCCTAGTACCAGCCCACCCCACAAAACAAAGCAAAAAGAAAGGTAAAGTAGGAACTCAAGATATTACCCAGGAGGCACCCCAGAAACTATTAACTATGTGATGGTCATCCTGGGATCATAGGAAAAGAAATGATGTCAGACCATCTTTGCAAGTAGAGGAACAGATAAGCAAAGAGAGATTCTTTGATGAGAAAAATAATTGACAGAGCAAGAGCTCAGATGGCCAAAGAGATATAATGAAAGAGGTGAGTGAGTGAGTGAAGTTAAAGAGAAAATTTGAGAGGAGAGGAAGGAATCCAGAAAACTGGATTGAAAAGGTGAGGTGGGGATCACAGCATCCCCAGGAGAAATCAGGGCTTTGGCAATGACCCACTGAGTCTTGAAGGGAGGCACAGGAAAAAAAAAAAAAAAGAGAGAGAGAGAAGGGGTACCTTCTCTTTCCAACTCTTAGAGAACCAATCCCCTGGGGGATGGATGGTATCATCCTGGGTATCATTTATATGAAATTCTAGAATAAAAGAAACTAATCTTTAGTTGGGAAAAAATAAAGCAGTAGTCACCCATGGGAGGGAGAGAAAGGCTGACTAGGAACAGACTCTGGCATGCTGGAGAGTTCTTCATCTTGATTGGTATGTAGGTTAAATAGGCACAGGAATTTATCAAATCCCAGCAAATATGTCAAATATGACTTGACATTTCATTGCAAACTATTTCGAAAGAAAAAAGCAACTGTAGTTAATAAATTAAATGCTGAACTATTGAGGGAAGTTTTCTGATCTCCATGATTTACTTTGAAATATATAAAAAAAATCACACTGACAT